ACTATACCATGCAGCTGAAGACTCGAAGTAATTTTGTGCTGCCCTGTTTTCCTGTCCACAGCAGGTGCGGTGATGCGCTGTTGGGAAGTGATGACGAGGACAGCAAATTGTGTAGGTGGACTGCATGCGTCATCGCGTCAGGCCAAAGCGTGTTGGGCAGTCTCATCCCCAGGAGCAGCTTCCGCATCGTCGTCTGCAAGGTTCGGTTAATCCTTTCTGCGACCCCCTACTGCTGGTGAGCGTAGGGCAGGGACACCAGGTGTCTGATGCCTCTTTCTGCCAAGTAGTTCCTGAATCGTTGTGACTGGTACTCCAGTGCTCCGTCTGACTGGAAGCTCTTGAGTTGCGAGCCCGATTCTCGTTCAGCGATTGGGAGCCACGTCGTGAAGGCTTCGAACGCTTGATCTCGTGTCTTGAGGTTGTAGTGCCAGACGTATCGTGTTGTTGCGTCGATGAATGTGATGACATAGCTGTACTCTGCTTCACTGTCGTCTCGAGGCATATTTAAGATGTCGCTGTAGACTTTTTCCATCGGTGCGTATGCAGGTGCGCTTGGATTGTGGTGCGACGGAAAAGGTTGGTGGGGAAGATCAGCTTCGGGACACGTGAAGCATCGTGCGCGGGGTCGTCGAAGCTCCTGGCCGCTCGTTGTAAGAAGAGCGTCCTTTTCTAATACTCCGGCTTGTATGGTTTGTAGTACTGTGCTGTTTGCAGGATGTTCGAGGCGTTGATGCCAGATGTCGTCGGGAGCGCGATGGCCGGGTGAGCGCTGGTACATGTCGGTGTTGGAGAAGAACGCGACGACCGTGGCGGGACTGTGGCAGACTCCTCGGGTGATGGGCATGAGTTGATCCGCTTCGGATGGCGGTCCTCGGATTGCTGGTGATGGCGCACGGCTGGGTCCTGCTGCTGCTACTGCAAGTGATGTCGGGTGAGGGAGGCTTGTTGGTACTTGTTGTTCTTGTCGGATGACTGCTAATGCTCGTGTTCTTTCTGCTGCAGGGATGATGTTGGAGTACCAAAATCCGTCTGGAGTGAAATCGGGGTCAAGATCTGGCGGATGCGTCCAGGCGGCGAATGACACGATGCCGTCGCTGTCAGCAGTTCCGCGGTCGGGGACAAAGTCCAACACGAAGACGCCCGACTTCAGGAGAGTGCGACCGATGAAGAGGCCGCCTTTCCCGTGGTAAAGTCGAAACTCGTTGGCGTCCGAATCACATTCCATGTGAATTCCCTTCGCCATTAACTGGCTGACGCTTAGTAGATTGTATCCCAAGTTGTCGACGATGAGAAACTTGTTGAGTTGTAGTATGACGTTTGTCACCATTGACTGAAGTTGAACCACTCCTTGTCTGTTTGTTTTCAGGTTCTCGTTGTTGGCGATGGTGATGATGACATCGCGGTTGAGGCGTCGATCCTGTTGCACGAAACGCCCGAAAGAACACATGTGTTTGCCGCAGCAACTGTCCAAGAACCAGGTGTTTCGCCTAGTGGGTTCGGCGTTGGCAACTGCAGCATACGTGGGGTTGACTTGAAGACCTTGTGAGCGCGGCGGCGGCAGTTCTTCTTCGTCTGGAGTGTAAGTGGGTGGTGACTCGGGTCTGCAGCTGTCGATCCGTACCATGCAGTTGATGATGTTTGGTGTGTCTCGTGCAGGTGTAGAGGAGCGGCTTGGCGGATTCTCTTGAGTGGAGGCGACTTGCGGATCTGCTAGACGATAAACTCGAGGACGTGTGCAGTTGGCCTTGGAGTGTCCGGATGTCTGACAATTGTGGCAGAACGGCGGTACGATGGTGATACCTCTGGTGTCATATCGATTCTGCTTATCGCGTCGGTTGTAGTTGTTGTCGTTTCTTCTTTGTGTGTAGAAGACTAGTGGCTGCTGCTTGTTCCGTGGTTGTCTTTCTTCAAACACGTCCATCTCATGTTGTTCAGCATGAAGCTTGCCGCAGAGGTGCACCTCAGAAATTCGTCCATGGGCGCGAAGAAGCGAGCGGGTGGTTCTCCATTCTGGCCCGAGCCCGGCGAGGACAAGTGTTACGAAGCTTTCTTCAGTGATTGTACCTCCGCACCAAAGCAGGCGGTCGCGGAGTGTTTGGCAGCGACTCATATACTGCATCGCCTTTTCCCTGGTCTTCATTTGTATTGTTGTCAGCTGTTGCATGAGTCTGCTTTGTGTCACACTATCGTTTGCCTGATAGAGGCACTTCAGATGATGCCAAGCGAGCTCCGCGGAGTTTCCGTAGCTCCGATGCGTTCTGATGCTCTGTTGCTCTTGTGGTGACAGGTTTCGCAGGAGAAATGTGTACGCCAGCAGTGACTGATAAGTGAAGATTTCCTGCTCCTTTGCAGTGCCATTGCTTGGAAATGGCAGGGACCCGTTGAAGTATCCCAAGAGGTGCGCGGCCTCCATCAGCAGCTCGAACTCAAAACTCCAGGTAAAGAAGTCGTGCCCGTTGAACCGTGAAGATGTATGCAGTTTGATCACATGTGAAAACTGCGCCTGGAAACTCAATATCTCGTTTGGTGTCTGTTGTGATGCAGCTGCTATCGGTTGAGCACGGGGCGGCATGAACTCGAACGTCCCCGGTGAAGAATGATATGGCGCAAAGGTAGGCGCCTGATTATGCCGCCCGAATGATGAGTTGTCGAGGCTCATTGGTGCTAATCCCACGTTTCCCCCATTGCTCTGTGTTGAATGCGCAGGTGTCCTTGTCTGCTGCTGCTGGTCAAAGTGCGACATGAAGCTGAAAAACCTTTCCATAAGGTTCGGGTCCACGCTTGAAGAGGGTGAAGGGGTCACCATTTCTGGTACCCTCCCTGTTGTTTCTTGAGCAGCGCTGGTCTCAGTTTGTAATCCTGAAGTGTGTAGTCCAGAGTTGCCGGGTTGAGTGTCTTGGGCGCTGGGTGAGCCCGTAGAATACTTCTTGACCTTGTTGTCCATGACTTGTAATCAATGAATCTCTTGATGTGCTTAACTGTAGATAGAGCGTTGTAGCTGGGAGTTTGGTCTCTGACCAGCTCTCATACCATGTTGGGCTGAGAAAGGCCCTTAGGATCTTTCCAGAGACTAAGTCCCACTTGTACAAGATGCTTGAGTAGTGCAGTGGAAGTGTTGAGTAGTTGAACCCTTGCACTAGTATGTGAGAGCAAGTGATTAATTAAAAGAAGCAAGCATACAGCAATATATAGAGAAAAGGAAATAGAGAAGTTGTAGAATACAGTTGAAGAAACGGTTTTCGAGTCACACAGCGACTCGATCGATGGTTCGATTACCACCCTTGCAGTCGTAACGGTCAGTCGCATCCTCCGGTTGCGATCCTTCAAGTCCCTTCTGTTATGAACTGATCTAGCAAGAAAGGAGAAGGCCGCCATGAAATGGCGGCCGAGGTTTAGCTAGGAAGATTGACGAGAGAGAAGAGGGTCGATTAGGAAGAGAGAGGGGTACAAGGAGGGGATTGTACCCTTTACAGTAAGGTTCAGTAACAACTACCAAGCCTATCAATGATATATAACTTATATAATTTTAACACACCCCCTAGGCTTGGTAGTCGAAGTACCCACACACACCCACACCCCCTAACCTAGCACCCCCATTCCCTGCAGCAGCAGTGGCGGATGACAGCGCGGTTGACCTCTCCACGGGCGGGGCGGCGACGTCAACGACGAGGGTGCGGTGGCGACGACAGCAGCGGCGGCAATGACGATAGTGGCGGCGTGCGGCGGCAAGTAAAGCCAGCGGCAACAGCGGCGGCGGCGAGGGCTTCGACAACAGCAGCGGCGGCGGCGGCGCTCGCCCCACTCGGTGACGTGGCCAAAATCCGCGACGGTGGGACGGCCGGCGGGAGTCCGTCTACGGCTGCGGTGAGGAACAGGACTCAAGGGAAGAGGGGCGGGGCGTGTTCCAGCCTCAGGCTGGAGGCTGGTGTGCGGGCGGCAGGTGTGGCGGCGCCACGAACGTCAAGGCGCTGGCTGCAGCACGGGGACACGGCGGGAAGGTGGAACGGCGGAGCCGCCACGTCAGGGCGGCAAGCCCAGCACGGCTGCTCGACGTGGCAGCCATGCGACGAGGCTGCCACGGCACCTCGACATGGCCGCCACGGCTGAGTGTCGAGGTCGCCATGGCAGCGCGGCGAGGGACGGCGGCGGCACGAAAAAGGACGGTAGAAAAGCGCGGCGGAAGCGTGAGGAGCAGGCCCGCTAGAAGCGAACTGCTCTGATACCATGTTATGAACTGATCTAGCAAGAAAGAGAAGGCCGCCATGAAATGGCGGCCGAGGTTTAGCTAGGAAGATTGACGAGAGAGAAGAGGGTCGATTAGGAAGAGAGAGGGGTACAAGGAGGGGATTGTACCCTCTACAGTAAGGTTCAGTAACAACTACCAAGCCTATCAATTATATATAACTTATATAATTTTAACACTTTCGTCCTTTCGTGTTCTTTCGTCCAACCTCCTCGTGTAACGTCCGTTGACTCGCGTACTCGATACGACTTTCCTTCGAGTGTAGTGTTACACTTCAGAAACGCTTAAGCGTAAAACATGCCGTTTAAAGCGTTTCCACACGAAATACATGCCGCTTTCGATACTACACGAAATATTTTCGTAAAACATGCCGTTTAAAGTGCGACATAGCATGCAATGTTGCAGTACATTCGAGGCATAGTAATTTTTCATTGTGACTTCGATGGTTCCTCGTAGTGATCTTTTTGCATAACCTTATGAACATACAGATAGCGCTTCACGCACACAAAGTGGAAGTGTACATAGGTGTACTTGTCCATGGCCCACGTGGTGTCCTCGATACAGGGGGAGTTCGCTGCACGCGCCACAGCCTCTCCAAACTCATGGCAGCCAACCAAATGAGGCATACTGTACTCGATACCGGCGGACCCGGTTTCACGTGAGTGCCAAAATCCTTCCTATGCCTTTTTCCCCCTCCCCTCCGCTCCCCACAGTTAAAAGCCTGAAGCACGCGGTCATAGTCTTTTATCCTCTCCCCCACCTCGCCCTCTAGAAGTTCCTTCACCAGCCATTTCCGCTCCGCCGTAGTCCGTCCGCCGACTCTTCCCGCTCCCCGCCTTCTCCCGCGCTCCCCGTGACGCCGCCTCGCTACAAGCCATTGCTTATTTCTCGCTCGCTGCTGCTTTCGGTTTCCAGATCCGTTTGGATCTGGACGAGAAACCGCGATAAGAGCAACTGCAGACTGCCGGTCCGTCGCTTCACCGCTGGCTCACCCCGATCGTGACAGTCTCGCTTACCCGTTGTGAGCAGTCTCGCGTACCCGCTGTAAGCCGTCTCGTTAGAAGCACATGGCGGGGGAGTACGGCCGGGAGCCGTGCCCGGATCGCATCCTCGACGACGTGGGCGGCGCGTTCAGCATGGGCGCAGTGGGCGGCGCGGCGTGGCACTTCATCCGCGGGGCCAAGAACTCCCCACGGGGGGAGCGCCTGGTGGGCGGAACGCAGGCGGTGCGGATCAACGCTCCGCGCATCGGCGGGAGCTTCGCGGTATGGGGCGGGCTGTTCTCGACGTTCGACTGCTCGCTGGTGTATCTGCGGCAGAAGGAGGACCCCTGGAATTCCATCGCCGCGGGTTTCCTCACCGGCGGGTTTCTGCAGCTGCGCGCGGGCCCGCGCTCCGCGCTGCAGTCCGCGGTGTTCGGCGGAGTGCTGCTGGGGCTGATCGAGGGCGCGGGCATCATGCTCAACCGCATGACCGCCGCGCTTCCGCCGCCCCCGCGCGACGAGCCCCCTCCCGCACAGGTCCAGCAGCCTGTGAGCATGCCGGTACCCGTTCAACCCGCCGCTCTCCCCGCTGCCGCCGCCCCGACCCTGTCTGCCCAACCTGAGCTCGTCAGCCCCGGCGCGGGTGGCGCTGTGACGTTGCCGAACGTGGAGCCTAGCCTCGGATCTGGCCCGGCGGTAGTGCAGACTGGTCCGGCTGTGTCAGAGAGTGGGCCGTCGTCAGGCTGGGGAGGGTGGTTCTCGTGGGGGAGTGGCGAGGGGGAGAAAGGCGCGCAAGGGGGGAGCAGCAGCAGCAGCAGCAGTGGCGGGATGAGCGGAGGGGAGAAGCATGATGTGTTTGCGGCTAACCCGCCTCCTAAAGCGCCTGAGTTTGCTGCTGGGGGTGATGACTCGTGGTTGAGACAGAAGTGAGTAGGGAACATGGTAAGCAGGGGTTCAGTAGGTGCTGGGGTGTGCTTCCTTCCAGCTACCAAATAGATTTCTATCAAAGCCAATTGGGCTGATTTTTGGTTTCGGTTAGGTAGTTACACAAACATTGAAGAGGGGGAGGAACAGAATTGACCACCCTGCAGTACATGCTGGAATATGACATTCTCCCACTACCACACATTTGAAGGCTGACCGAAGAACGCGGTAGGTTTTTTGAGCGACATTTGTGTGCGGCCATCCTATCCACCTCACTGCGGCTGCACTGGTACTGCAGTGGCTGTCATCCATAAGGGAACTAGTAGGTCCAACAAGCAAAATGTACCATCCTGTGAGAGGGCTAAGGCCTCAAAGCCAGGCAAGTGTATCGAGTGAAAACCACCGGGTTCCCGGGCTGCTGGTCAGTCGTGGCGTGCACGCTTGTCTCCGCCCTTGTGGTCATCCGCCGAGCGCTTGTGCGACCCTGCACCCCCACACCAGACCACCCCACCCCGCACACACACCATGTGAACATCCTCTCCTTGTCAAAGAAAACAAGAAAACACATCAACCATGGACCAAGGTATCAGCATGAGCCCACCCAACCCACCATGCGAGTCCTTGTGGTCGTTATCTGAAGTTGCCGCAGCCGCTGCTGCTGCTGCTGTGGTGCCGTCAGTGTGATCCGGCTCAGTTGACACGACCGTGGGGTGGGTGTTGGGGGGCAGGGGGGGCGGGGGAGGGAGTGCGGAGGTGGGGGGGAGTGCCCCTGCTGCAGCGGCCGCAGCGAGGAAGGTGGGGTCTGAGAGGAGGGAGGGGTCGAGGAGGGAGGGGTCGAGGCCCGGGATGGCGAAGGCTGCGGGAGGGATGGAGGAAGGGGCGGGCACGGGGGCGGGCGGGAGGGGTTCAACCTTCTCAACCCTGCTCAGCCGCACACCCAGCAGCAGCAGCCACCCACGCGAACGGCAGGCAGCCACCCATGCAAGCAGCAGCAGCGGCGGCAGCAGCAGCAGCACGCATGCAGGCAGATGGCAGCAGGTGTCGGAGCAGAGGCGGCCAGAGCAGCAGAGCAGCGAAAGAGCCAGGAAAAGGGGGGGTTAGGAGTCAGGGGGAAGGCTGATGGCAGGTAACAAGAGTTAAAGCATGAAAAAGTGGGGACATGCAGTTGCAATAAGGAACACAGAACCAGCTGGTGCCATGACGATCAAAAAGCTGCGAGGGAGGATGGACGGCGGGATGCAAGTGAGGGAGGGCGGGAACGGGGGGGAGGGACGGGCAGGGGAGGGAAGGAAAGAGCAGGGGAGAGCAGGGAGGGAAGGGAGAAGGAGAAAACCAGAGTGTTTCAGTAAGCACAGCAGAAAAAAAGTCAGGAGGGTAGAGGTCCGTAGGGTAGAGGTTATTGTGGGAGAGGTTGGCAGGAAGGCAGAGAGGTAGAACGTACGAGATGGTGGCGCCCATGAACGTGGTGCCGTTCAGCTCCAGCGCCCTGCCCACCGCCACTGCATCCTCCACCTCAACCGTTGCCATCTTTGTCGGCCCCTTGTACCGCTCCCCTTTCTCCTTCTCCCCCTCCTTCCCCTCCTCGCCCCCCTCGCCCTTCTCCTTGTCCCCCTCCTCAGGCGGCGGCCCCGGCACGGGCACGATGATGAGCGACTTGACCAGGCCGCACTGCCCTTCCAGGAGCCCGCGCACCTCGTCCTCCGACGCCTGGGCGGCACACAGCACCACGCACACGCAACGCACGGACCACGGGGTGGGTGGGCTTCGGGAGGGGTAGAGAGGGCAGGGTAGGGTGGGAGGGACGGGCGTCGGGACGCAAGGGGCGGGATGGGAGGGATGCAAGCCGGTCTTAGCGCGAGAGGGACCCGGCGAGCCCGCAGTGCCCTTTCATCAACCCCCGCACCTTGTCCTCGGACGCCTGGACGGCATACAGCAGCACGCGACGGAGGGACCATGGGTTGGGTGGGCTTCGCGAGGGGACGAGGGAGGTAGGGCGGTAGGAACGGGCGTCGGGGCGAAAGGGACGGGAAGGGGGTTGAAAGCTGGCGAGGTGCCGAGAGGAGAAATGCAACGCCGGACGTAGGTGGGGATTGTAGCCGCAACATGTCGCTCGAGAGTGGAGATAGCGAGGCATTAGGTACACCTTAGCGGGGGTAGTGGGGCATACCTTAGCGGGGATGCCCTGCACTTTGACGATGTTCTGCGGGGCGGCGACGGCGGCCATCATCATGGCGGGCGTCATCGTGGGGAGGGCTGCCGCCGCCGCGTTGCGCTGCGACAGCGCGTTGGTCTGAATGGCGGACTTGGATGGGGAGATTCTGGCGAGCGGATGGGGCGGAGGGTGTGGGGGGGGGGGAAGGTGGGGGTTTGGGGGAAGACGTGCAGGGAAGGGCAGGGTCAAAGAGGGAGGAGTAAATTAGGGAGCGACTCAGCGACAGAGGAAACCTTGAAAATCCAGAGGGCTAAGAAGGTACAAGAAACTGCGAGCTTCCGAAAGTACCTTAGCGTCTGTCCGGCGAGCACTTGGCCGTCGAGGGACAGCGCGGCGAGCGCGGACTGCTGCGCCGCGAACTCGATCCACGCCGTGCGCGGGTTGCCCGTGCCCGCCGTGCGCGCCGCCGTCACCGTGCCGCACACGCCGAAGTACTCGACCAGCATCGCCTCGGTGATCTGATGGGAGGGAAGAGGGGGGGGTGGGGACGCGCAATGGGAACTGCAGTTGTGAACGCGTCGAGACGTCGCGGTGCCGCACACGCCGAAGTACTCCACCAGCATCGCCTCCGTGATCTGATAACGAGCGGAAGACCATAACGGGGACGCGAGACCAGCGAGAAGCAGGTGTGCTGCAACTGGGAAATGTTGGTGAGAGAAACTCGTGACTGCCGACCAGCCAGCCCGATACGTCACACGCACGCGCGCTAGGATGTTCGGATCTGAATCCTGCTGACCTGGATGTCGACATTGCGGACGTGGATGGTCCGCGAAATGCGTTCCTGATCCTCCACGGTGGACCGCTTTCGAGGTGCAGCGGCGGAAGGTGCCGCTGCCAGTCCCGCGCCTCCCATCAGCGCCGCCAAGGGGTTCTGAACTGTCGCTGCCGCTGCTCCTTTCTGTAGCACACAGGCATGATCACGGAAGAAATGATGTTGAAATTAATGACCGAACTTGACGCGGGAACAATGTTTAGGCTGGACTGCTGACGCTACGAAACCCTAGCAAGCCAATATTGAGCAAATGACAAGTTTCTTCACGTTGCTAAGGGTACGGTGGCTTATGATGACGATCGGACGCCGAGGAGACAACGGAAGGAAGTTGTCAGCGGGAAAGCGGTACGTACCCCGGCGTAGGGCTTGGACAGCGAGACACGAAGGTTCCGCGAGCCGACCTGCAGCCCGTCTAGCAAGCAGGCTGCGTGCGCCATAACGGAATCGTTGAACTCCACAAACGCGTACCGCGTCTGCATCTTAGGGTCCCTGCCACAAGCAGAAAGAAGTTATCAGTCGAGCAAGGAGGAATTAAAAGAGCAGCGGAACGTGAGCAAAACAATTTGAGCAATGACCACGAGGCCGGGGCCTGAAAGGACCTCTCATAAACCACGGCATCCGATCTAATCCTTAGATCTGATACGAAACTGATGTTAAGTGCCGGTAGGCGCATACACTGCATGATAAACGGTCACTTACCCCGCGAGACGCACGTTGGTGACGGTGCCGAACTGCGAGAAGAGCAGGTAGAGCGTGCTCTCGTTCACGAACGTCTCGAGATTGCCGACGTGGACCGTCCGATCCCCCATGGCTGTCTGCGACGAGCTGCCTGATATGCGAAATAAGCTACGGACGTAGCGACGCGCGCACTAGCACTTGTGTAACGATCGAATGAACTAGGGGCTGGTGAAAGTGTAGAACGTGAGGCTCTCCTAGAGCTGTCAGGTAAAGAGAAACCTAGGGCTTGGAAGCAAGACACTAGGCGAGGAAGAATATGGGGGAGGGGGGAATGTTGGACTCATGCACATCCCGCATAACTCCAGCCTGCAATTGGCAAAACTGACTGTATCGCGGATTTGGAACCGAAGCATCGAGAAAAATGGGTACAGTGCCATGAAAGTGCGTTTACACGCGTGAGTCGAAAGAGAATTTCAAATTAGTGACGGGCCTTACCGCTCGCCAGGCTGAATCGAACAGCTCGGCCGCTAAGCCGCTACGGATTTGAAGTCCGCACCCAAGACCACTCAGGTTCAGGCAAGCAAGGCTGTGCGGTTTCCCGAGCAAAGCTGAAGGTAATGTGCAAAGCTGCATAGTGCCCAGTGGGAGCAGCACAGTCTCGTATGCCCCTTCCAGTTCTTTTCTGGAGGTCATTGGTGTGATGTTCACATTATTCCTCATCGTCAGGTCATTGTGCTGGCTGTGTGTGAATTAGGTTAGGCCATGCCGTCGGAACACACCTCCGCAGCTCAAGTCGCCGGATAGCTTACGTCGTCTCCTGCCGTCCAAGGTAAGGTAGTATCCGACGCTCACCCTTGCCCAACAGCCTATTCTCGCTAGAACCAAGCCTCGGCATTTCACCCCTTTTAGCCTGGCGAGCCTGCCTGACTTATTTCTGAGCAATTTCGTACGATGCTCCCGTAGTTCTTACCGAAGCATCTGCCTGTCGCGACACCAAAGCCTGTCATGGCGTCGGCACTCGCCAGCCTCGTGTCGCACACGAACCTTCGCTCGCTCCTCATCTTCGCACTCGTCGCATGCTTCGCCTTCCTCTCTGTCGAGGTCGGTTACAACCTTCGTTACACCGCCACCACCACCGCCGCGGGCCACGCAAACCCCTCCTTCGCGCACGTCGCAACGCGCGCCGCGGCGTCGCTGCTGCTCCCGCGGCACCAGCCGCAGGCGGCGCAGCCGCGCCCGGGGGAGAGCGCGGAGGAGGTGCTGGGGAAGCTGCGCGCGGAGATCGAGAAGCAGCAGCTGCGCACGGCGAAGCGGCAGCTGTTCCGCGACGAGGTGCGCACGCTCATGGACGAGATCGCGCGGCTTAAAGCCAACCACTCCGGACCAATCAAAGCCGAAGATCTTAAAACCTTCGCTGACGTCAGCAACGGCACAGGGGGCGGAGGGGGAGGAGGGGGAGGCAGTGGGTTGGGCCCCGATGCTGTTGCTGCAGCGGCGGAGCTGGCGAAATGCGAGGCGTCCTTGCAAGAGTGCAGAGAGAGCCTTGGGCGGGCTGGTGGAATGGAGGGGACGGGAGTGGTGGGTGGGACTAATGTGCCGGGTGGAGCTGCCACTGGCGGGGCTCCAGTGAATAGTGCAGCAAGTGGATCTGGTGGTGCGGTGTCTGCTGCGGTGGTTGCAAGGAGTGAGAACGAGACACTAGCAGCGCTGCAGACGCAGTGCGAGCAGCAGCAGATTCTCAACGAGCGCCTGCAGCAGGAGAGGGAGCGGCTGGCGGCCGCAGTGGCGCACTACTCGCGGAACACCACGGACTGCAACGACACCGTGTCCAGTGATGATGCCTTGCAGGCGGCACGGAAAGCAATCCAAGAGTGCGGCCGGGCAGCTGAACAAGCGCGGGAGAGCGCCATTGGCGGTGGGTACAGCAGCGAGCAGCTTTCAGCTGCCCGGATTCGTGCCACGTCATGCACGGCCACAGATGAAGAACTCCTAAAGTACCTGAGTTACTCCCCCAAGAAGCCGTGCCCCGACGACTGGTACTTGGTCCAGCACCTCATCTTCGTCCGCAACTGCTTCTGCCTGCCGCGCCGCCGCTGCTTTGCCGCTGCGCCCCCTGACTACCAGGAGCCGAGCATCCCGTTCCCGCAGTCAGTGTTTGACCCGCGCGCCCTGCTGGACGCCAACGTGCGCTGGGACCTGCACCGCTGCAAGTCGTACACGTGCATCAACTCACGCCTGCTGGGGGACTGCAGGGACTGTTTCAACCTCACGCTCGAGGCCAAGCGCTGGAAGAACAACTACCGGGGGGCCGTGACTATGGAGGAGGTGATGGGGTTGAAGCCCCAGGGGTCGGTTAGGATAGGGCTGGATGCTGGTGGGGGGACAGGGAGCTTTGCAGCAGCGATGGCGCTCTACAACGTTACGATTCTGACCACGGCTATGAACACGGAGACAGTGCAAGAAGTGGAAATGGGGTTGCCTTATATGGAGACGATTGCACAGCGGGGACTAGTGCCGCTCCACGTGCCGCACAAGGCCCGCCAGCCGTTCTTCGACAACACCTTGGATTTGATTCACACGGTGAACAGTATCAAGTACTTCTCCATCCCGGAATTTGAGGAGCTTCTGTTCGAGTGGGACCGGATTCTAAGGCCGGGAGGCATCTGGTGGTTTGAGCTGTTCTATGCGCCGGTGTGGGAGATGCCGCTGTACATTGGGGTGATAGAGCAGTTTGGGTATGGCAAGAAGTACTGGAACCTGACACCCAAAACAGATACGGCTGAGAGGGAGGGTGAGCATGTGTACCTGAACTGCGTGCTGGAGAAGCCTAGTCAGAGATAGCAGTGGAGGATTATGATCCAGGGATGTAAGGAGTTCAATTTTGAATCTACGCATGACATTTTGTTGTGGGGAATAAATCATACCGCATAATACAAATTTTGATGTGGGCATTTGGCCCCTTCCGGATAAGGATCTTCGCACAATCACGAAGCATTGCATCGTGGCCGCTCGTCGCTCGTGCTGCTCTCAGCAATTCCCAAGGTGAAATGTCGCCCCTCGCCTGGATTTCACCTTCTCTCTTTCCGACACTCTTCTAGTACAGGGTCGTATGTTACCTAGGCGTCCGCGAGTACATTGCTCACCAGCTCCGTCGTGCTAGCGTCCCTCTGAGAGCCATCAGCTGCAAGATTGGTTCCTCCCATACATATTCAGAAACCATAGCGCGCCACTGACATGGCATCCGTCTGCCACGTCGGCCTCGTACCACAGACGCTCAGCCCACAGCTGAGCACCTCTCAGAGCACCTCCCTTCCCGCTACCTCGCGCATTCCGTCCCTGCTACCAACCCATAGACCATCCCGTGCGCTGCGGAAACACGCGTCGGAAAGTTATCCCGACGGACGTAATACGTACGGTAAGCACAATGGCCAACGGGGCTTGGCTCCAAGCGTGAGGGCGAAAGCCAGCGAAGGGGGAGACGGAGCAGCGCCGGTCGCGGCGGGGGTGGCGGCGGAACTGGCGGTGCCGCGGAGCGCGGAGGCGGCGGTGAATCAGGGGCTAGAGCTCTACAAGAAGGGGCGCGTGCGGGACGCGCTTTCTCGGTTCGAAATGGCGCTCGAGATGAAGCCGTCCGAGGAAGAGGCGCAGGCGGCGCTCTACAACAAGGCGTGCTGCCATGCCTTCAGGTAGTGGCAGGGTAATGTGCTGGGATGATTGCTTTCAGCCGTCCGTTGGGGGCTCGTGTCACTGGTCGCATTCCCAGTGCGTCGCTTCCTGCCATGCCATCGCATGCCGTCACCTGACGTGGCGTGGGTGACGTGGCGTGCAGAGAGGAGGGCGCGAAGGCGCAGGAGGCGCTGCGCGAGGCGCTGCGGTGCGGGCTGCAGTTCAGCGTCATCCTCAGCGACCCCGACATGGCGGCCTTCCGCGCCATGCCCGAGTTCAGAGCGCTGCAGGAGGAGGTGCGCGGGGGGGGAAGGGGTGAGCATGAGGGGGTGAGGCAGGAGGTGGGGTGAGGCAGGAGGTGAGGTGAGGCAGGAGGTGAGGTGAGGCAGGAGGTGAGGTGAGGCGGATGAGCAGCGAGGGCGCACGTGGGAGGATGAGTTGCGCAGGGGTGGTGACCACGGGATAGCGGCGCGCCTTGCCCGAATTCAGAGCGCTGCAGGAGCGGTTGAGGCAAGAGAGGCGGGTGGAGGAGGGGAAGAGGGGAGTAGGGCGAGGTGCGCCAAAGATGTGAAGAGGCAACTAGGGGCAATGGGAAGGGAGATATGCTGCAGGACACAATCATCACCAGCCTGCCTTGGGGAGATATACCAACCCCCTCTCACTCCCTCACTCGTTCGGTCTCTCTCCCTCCCCTCCAGGCAAGAAAGGGCGGCGAGGAGGTGGGCGGCAAGTTTCGGCGGGACCTGAAGCTGATAGCGGAGGTGCAGGCGCCGTTCAGAGGCGTGCGGCGGTTCCTGTACGTGGCGCTGGGGATGGCGGCCGGCATCGCCACCGTCATCACCATCCCCCGCTTCATCCTGGCCGTCCAAGGCGGGCTGGACGCCCCGGATCTGCTCACCACTGGGGGCAACCTGGCCGTTGATCTGGGAGGTGAGCTGACGGGGGTTGGAGAGCGGTGGTGGAAGTTGCAGACTGGGTAGGAGAAGGCAGCAGGGGGATGGAAAGGCAGGCTTGTGAGCTGCTGCTGCTGCGGCATAATATAGAAGACTAGTGCCGTTAGACTGTGCCAGAGAGTGTTTCCTGTGCTGTTTTCGCGTTTCTAATTGTGCGAATAGTGCCATTGGAGGGTGCTGACATGTGGCTGTGTTTGAATGTGTGTGTCTGTGTCTGTGTGTGGCCGTGAATGCTGCAGGAGGCGTGGCGATGGTGGCGCTGTACGTGTGGGAGCAGCGGCGGGAGGAGGAGCAGATGGGGCGCGTGTCGCGCGACGAGACGCTCTCGCGCCTGCCGCTCAGGCTGCAGACGGGCAAGGTGGTGGAGCTCGTGCAGCTCAGGGGCACCACGAGGCCGGTGAGACGAGGACAGAGAAAGGCTGGGGAGATGGCAGGCTGGCAAGGCAGCCTTATGTTCTCCTCTCATGTTTTGCTCTCAGGCTACAGACGGGCAAGGAGGTGGAGCTCGTGCAGTTCCGAGCAGCACAATGCCGGTGAGACGAAGACTGGGAAGAAGGGAAGGGAACTGCGTGCTTGACTTGCAACACAATCCTTTCATTCCACTCACGCTGCAGACGGATAAGGCAGCGAAGGCACCACGCGCCCGCTGAGAGAGGCTGATCCCCCCCCTCGCCATATGGCGACCCCCGTTGCCGTATGGCGACCCCCTTCGCTGTATGGTGACCCCCGTCGCCGTATGCCGACCCCCCTCGCCATACGGCGACCCCCCTCGCCGTATGCCGACCCCCCTCGCCGTATGGCGACCCCCCTCGCCATATGGCGACCCCCTTCGCCGTATGGCGACCCCCCTCGTCGTATAGCGACCCCCCTCACCGTATGTCGACCCCCCTCGCCATATGGCGACCCCCCTCGCCGTATGGCGACCCCCCTCACCGTATGGCAACGACCCCCCTTGCCGTATGGGGACCCTCCTCGCCGTATGCCAACCCCTTTCGCCGTGTGGCGACCCCCCTCGCCATATGGCGACCCCCCTCGCCGTACGGCGACCCCCCTCGCCGTACGGCGACCCCCCTCGCCGTACGGCGACCCCCCTCGCCGTACGGCGATCCTCCTCGGCTTACGGCGACCCCCCCTCGCCGTATGGCGGCGACCCCCCTCGCCGTAGGGCAGCGACCCCTCTCACCGTAGGGCGGCGACCCCCCTCGCCGTAGGGCGGCGACCCCCCTCGCCGCAGGGCGGCAACCCCCCTCGCCGCAGGGCGGCGACCCCCCTCGCCGTTGGGAGGCGACCCCCCTCGCCGTACGGCGACCCCCGTTGCCTTACGGCGACCCCCTCGCCGATCCCCTTCGCCGTACGGCGACCCCCCTCGCCGTATGGCGGCCCCTCCTCGCCGTACTCGCCGTATGGCGACCCCCCTCGTCGTAAGGCGACCCCCCTCGCCGTATGTCGACCCCCCTCGCCATATGGCGACCCCCTTCGCCGTATGGCGACCCCCCTCGCCGTATGGCGACCCCCCTCGCCGTATGGCGACCCCCCTCACCGTATGGCCGCGACCCCCCTCGCTGTATGGCGACACCCCTCACCGTATGGCGGCGACCCCACTCGTCGTATGGCGACCCCCCTCGCTGTATGGCGGCGACCACCCTTGCCGTTTGGCGATCCCCCTCGCCGTATGGCGACCACCCTCGCCGTATGGCCGCGACGCGACCCCCGTCGCCGTATGGCGACACCCCTCGCCGTATGGCGGCGACCCCTCTCGCCGTACTCGCCGTATGGCGACCCCCCTCGTCGTATGGCGAATCCCCTCGCTGTATGGCGGCGACCCCCCTCACCGTTTGGCGATCCCCCTCGCCGTATGGGGATCCCCCTCGCCGTATGGCGACCCCCCTCGCTGTATGGCGACCCCCCTCGCCATATGGCGACCCCCCTCGCCGTACTCGACGTATGGCGACCCCCTTCGCCGTATCGCGACCCCCCTCGTCGTATGGCGGCCCCCATCGCCGTATGGCGACCCCCCTCGCCGCACGGCGACCCCCCTTGCCGTACGGCGACCCCCTCGCTGACCACCCTCGCCGTACGGCGACCCCTCTCGCCGTATGGCGACCCCCCTCGCCGTATGGCGACCCCCCTCGTCGTATGGCGACCCCCCTCATCGTATCGTGACCCCCGTTGCCGTATGGCGTCTCCCCTCGCCGTATGGCGACCCCCTTCGCCGTATGGCCAACCCCCTCGCCCTATGGCGAACCCCCTCGCCATATGGCGACCCCCCTCGCCATATGGCGACTCCCCTCTCCGTATGGCGACCCCCGTCGCCGTATGGCCACCCCCCTCGGCGACCCCTGTCGCCGTACGGCGTCTCCGCTCGGCGTATGGCGACCCCCCTCGCAGTATGGCGACCCCCCTCGCCATATGGCGACCCTCCTCGCCGTATGGCGAACCCCCTCGCCGGATGGCGACCCCTCTTGCCGTATGGCGACCCCCTCGCCGGATGGCGCCGTATGGCGACCACGCAGGCGGTGAGACTGAGATGGGGTGAAGGAGAGTGGTTGTGGCTGAGGGGGGGAGGGAAGGTGGAGACGAGGGTATGCGTGCAGGCTAGAGGCACCACCCGCACCGGCAGGTTGTCCTTTCCATCCTCACCAAAAGGGCCTGTTCCCTGGTCGCTGCCCCTCCAATCATAAACTGGTGAGGCATCTGACACCCCCCTTCTGCGTCTAGTTGCATACTTGCACGCTGCTGTCTGCACCATCCCGTCCAAAATTGCCAGACATTCTGTCCGGAACAGGGATGCAGCATAGCAGGCAACGGAGAGGGTGGCTCGGCTTTTGAGTTCCGGCATTTGGCTCCTTGTTTTCCCACCACCACCCCCCACCCGCAGATCTTTCTGCTGGGGCACAAGGAAGCGGTGCAGCAGGCGATGAAGCCTGCTGAGGGGTAGTTGAGCTGACTTGAATCTCTGCAGTTCCCTCCACCACCCCACCCCACACTTGCAGGTCATCCTGTCGGGGCGCAAGGAGGCGGTGCAGCAGGCGATGAAGCGCGCTGAGGGGTACCGCAAGCAGCTGCAGGAGCGCGGCATCCTGCTGGTGCCCGTGGTGCAGAGCAAGCAAGGGGGGGCGGTGGACAGCAAGAAGAAGGGCTTCGCTGCTGTCAAGAAACCGGCCGCCACCATGGAGTCGCTGGTGAGCGGCTGAGGGAGGTTTTGGGCGCTGGTGAGAGGCAGCAGGGGGGTGGGAGCTGGCAGTCAGTGGTGAGAGGAAAGGGAAGGCTTTCAGGTGAGATTTGTCAAGGTGCTTGTCTGCTCCCTCACTGCCCCTTGAACGCCATCTCTCACGTCCCAACCATTCCATGTGCAATCCAATCCAATCCAATCCAATCCAATCCAATCCAAACCAATCCAATCACCGCCCCTCATGCTCCCCCTCACTCGCGCCTTGCCCCACCACGTGCCTCGCGGCGTTGGCCCTGGTTTCGCAGGAGGAGTTTGAGGAGAAGGCGAGAGAGGCGGCGGCAAAGCGAGTGGCGGAGGCTGACAGGCGACTCAAGGCTGAGGCCGTGTCACCCGGGGAGTGGGACCAGTGAGTGGGGGGAGACAGGGGGACAGGGGAGTGGGACCAGTGAGTGGGGGGAGACAGGGGGACAGGGGAGTGGCGGGACATAGGGGGGGTGTGATGAGCGCGTGATGGGAGTTATGGGGATGGAGCAGTGAGGGTTATGAGTGGTGAGTGGAACCCATTTTGTTTGGTAGCCTGCATATGCATGCTACGACTGACTGACTGGTTCATCTGACTCGCAGCACAACGGCAGCGCAAGCCGTTTCAGCCGCCAACCCCCACCCTTGTCCTATGCCGTTGTGTGACATGCATGATCCTGTGTGGCTTGCATGCATGGCACTGCATTGGCCTGCCACATCTGGCATGGCGCATGTTGAATGGCATGGCACGGCATGGTACATTTGTTGATTGGCATGGCATGGCATGGCATGGCGGGCCGCGGTCATGGTCAGGTGGGTGCGGTCGCAGCAGAAGGCGGAGAAGGTGGCGGAGGGCAGCGATGCGTTCATCGTGCTGCGCCTGGACGGCCGAGTCAGGAAGTCAGGCACTGTGAGTCAGCAAGTCAGGCACTGTGAGTCAGCAAGTCAGGCACTGTGAGTCAGCAAGTCAGGCACTGTGAGTCAGCAAGTCAGGCACTGTGAGTCAGCAAGTCCGGCACTGTAGTTCAGAGTGTGGGCACCGCGAGTCCCCCAGCCCTTGTGAGTCTCCTGAGTCAGCAAGTCAGGCACCATGCATCGCCCACTCCTGCTGCTGCTGCGCGTGTGCCCTCGGCCCGCCCTGCTTCATTCTGCCATAGTGGGACCAGATCCATCCTCTCATGTTTTCTCCTGTCCCTGCATCATCTGCGCCACCATCTCTCGCTCCCCTCCCCCCAGGGCATGCCTGACTGGGCTGATCTTATCACCGAGCTGCCGCCGCTCGACAGCTTAGTCAGCAAGCTGGAGCGCTGATTGCCATCCTGCTTGCCTCTTTTCCAGAACCAGTTAAGTAGGTAGGGTAGGGTCATAGTCAGCGCTATAACAGCAAATCTCTGCTGATTGCTGGATCCAAGGTTTTGGGCAGTTGGATAAATATCAGACACAGTAGGCAAGAGCCAGAAAAGTGCAATGATGTGGAAGGGTGTATACATATGAAACCGGATCAGACTCCTGGAGTTTTGACACGAATTTTGACAGGCATGCTGACATCAAGAGGCTGTCCATTTTCCATTCCTGCCCTCATGCTTGCGTGGCAAGCTAACCACAGTCCACCCTGAAGCAGCAGCATTCTCCACCACATCCCGTGCTTCCCCACCTTCTCCCCCCACCAGCTCTTCACGTTCTCCCTCCCCCAGCACACTTGTCTCCTCCTCCCATGCCCACCTGGCCTCATTCCCTGGTGCACTGCTGCGTTCCAAGCTGGGGGGGCCAGGCACAGCTGCCTCTGCTCTACTGCCCACAGCAACAAGGGGCTCGGAACGATCAGAGGCAGGCAGAGGGAGAATGCGGATGCGGCGGGTGGGGGGGGTGCCAGCATACTGCCAGGAGAGAGGGTAGTCGCCCAAGAGCTGCGATTGCAGGTGGAGTATGTGGGGCGCTCGCGGCAGCAGCTCCACCGCCTGTGCCTGTGCGTGGCCCAGCATCATCCTCTCTGCAGCCATGCGCGCCTCCTGCGGGTATTGGGGGGTGGGTGAATAGAAGGAACGGGAGTTGGTCAGGAGGGTCTTGAGGACCGCCGCAGCAGCTTCACCGCCTGTGCGTGCGGGTGGCTCACCATCATTCTCTCCGCTGCCATGTGCGCCTCCTGAGGGGGGTGGGTGGATAGAAGGAGTGAACGAAGATATGACCCAAGGGCTGCAGAGGAACGCACGTGCAGAGGAAAGCATGTGCAGAGCTCCTCTGACTGCCCGCGAGTCAGCGCTGCGTGCTCTGCTGCCTTGAGTTGAGCGCAGCCTGAGGGGCGAGGGGGAGAGGGAGGGAGACACAGAAGGGGAGCTGTGTGGCACACGAAAGGCATGGCTTGGTACGGCTAAGAGCAAGCAACGCATGTGCCGCCAGACCTCGACTTTTTTTTATCACATCTCCCTCACCTCTCCCTCACCTCTCCCTCACCTCGAGAGCGTCGATCTCATCCTCCAACGAAGCACCGCCAGCCACTCTCATCTGCCCTTCACCTTCAGAAGCCCCGCCCATCCAGCTGCTGCTGCTGCTGCTGCTGTCGCTGATGCCTTCTTCCCTCGCAGTAGAGAGTTCATGTGGTGGTGTGGCCGGGACACTGGCGGCATCGCGAGGGGCTGAGCCAGCCTCGGGAGAGGCGGAGGAGGCGGAGATAAGCGGAGGAGCACCAAGGGAGTCGAGGTTGAGGATGGCGCGGAGAGCACGCACCACCTGAGGCATGGTGTTGGACTGGTGGGGATAGATGGATGGGGGGAGAAGGGAAGAAGGCAACACAGCAGTATGCACGGCGAGAAGGTTTGGGAGCATCAGGTGGCAGGTGTGGGAGTGAGACGTCAGGTGGCAGGTGTGGGAGTGAGACACAAGAGCAAGGTGGAGGTGAGCAGGAGCAAGTTGGAAGTGTGAACGTTGGAGGTGATGGCACGCAATTTCTAGGAGCGTTGGAGGCTGCCCACCTTGACGGCATAGATGGGCAGGTGTCGGAACTTGGCGACCCCCCGCAGCCACGCGTTGCCCTTGAGCTTGGAGCGCAGCGCCAGCACTGCATCCGCTGCCGCTATGTCCGTGGTGAGTGCGACCAGCGGTGCCAGGCCCATCACCTCCACCACCTGCTCCACGTGCTCCTCTGATACCTGCTTGGGGGGAGCATGGGTGCACAGGGCATAGGGCTTGAATGTGGGTCGCCCCTTGTGCACGCGAATCAGCACCATCACCTCCATCACCTGCTCTACATGCTCCTCCGACACTTGCGCACATGCAAAGGGAAGCAAGGGCCCTCAGCTTAGAGAGAAGGGGTGGTGGGATTGCAGGTGGCCTCAAAGCCTGAGACAAGCGACAGCGCCGCAGCACATTGCACCTGATAGAGGAAGACCAGCGTTGAGCCGTCGGACCGAGTGGCCTGGGCGAACGCTGAGAGCCCTGCGGGCGAGCTGGCTTGGGGCCGGGATGCTGCTGCTGCTGATGCTGATGACGATGCTGATGATGATAGCGCCACGAACGCAGAGCTGCTAGCTGCGCTCTCCATGCTGGTAGCCATGCCTGCCATGCCACCCCACCACATGGCAGAGGCGTGTCGCTGCGCATCACCATCACTGTCATCACTGTCCGTGGCGCTGCTGCTGCCGCTGCTGCCGTCAGATGCAAAGAAGAAAGGTGAGGAGGGCGCCACACTGCGGGTGCCTGGTGCAGAGGGTGCGGTGGGTGCACGCGATCCCGCTTGGGACGGCCACGAGAAGGCGTCGCTGTCTCTTTCATTGCCGCCCTCCCTTGGCTGTGCCACGTCCCACTCCCGCACACTCATCCCGTCCTCCCTCCCTCGCCCCGGCCATCCCTGCTCATTCCAGTAACCCACTCGCCCCAACCTAATGCCAGTGCTGCTGCTACTGTCACCACTAACACCTCCACCGCCACCACTGTTGCTGCTGCTAAGAGCGGTGGCAGCAGCAGCAGCGTCGCCGTCCATCCACACCTCCCCGTGCCGCCCCATCTCCCGTATCTCCACCTGCGGGGCCTTGCCTGTGAGTCAACACACCAAGAATCAGCAGACGCAAATGTAGAGGGGAGAAGAGACGTACTGAGTGAACGAGGTGGCAAGAGGGACGGCAGGAGATGAGGTGCGCTGGCCAGACGGGCTGTGAGAGGCACAAGGGACCAGCATACAGCTTCCACCACAAGCCCCCGCCAAACGGCGGAGACTCCACAAATATCACTCAGAATATCACTCCTGCATCAACGTAAGAATAAAGCTCGCAAGGGTAGGAATGAAGCTAGCAAGGTTGAGACTGAGGCTCGCAAGGATAGGAACGAATGTCGCAAGGGTAGGAACGAAGGTCGCAGGGGTAGGAACGAAGGTCGCAAGGGTAGGAACGAAGGTCGCAAGGGTAAGAACGAAGGTCGCAAGGGTAGGAACGAATGTCGCAAGGGTAAGAATGAAGGTCGCAAGGGTAAGAGCGAAGGTCGCAAGGGTAGGAACGAAGGTCGCAAGGGTAGGAACGAAGGTCGCAAGGGTAGGAACGAAGGTCGCAAGGGTAGGAACGAAGGTACACAGCACACGGCGCACAGCACACGGCGCACAGCACACGGCGCACAGCACACGGCACACAGCACACGGCACACAGCACACAGTACACAGCACACGGCGCACAGCAGTGACACAACACCAACCGGCAAGCAGCGCATCAACGGTGCTAGCGAGGCAGTGGTGCACGCGCCACCGCCCGCGCGTCTGCATCTCCACGGCTGTGCGGAACACAGGCGGCCCGCCTCTCTCCATCACACTCTTCTGCACGCCCCTCCTCCTTGCCTCCTCGTCTCCCAGCGTCACCGTCTGAGAGAGAGAGAGAGAGAGGGGGGGGGAAGGGGAGTGGGGTCGGGACAAGGGAGTGGGGGCCGGACAAGGGAGTGGGGGCCGGATAAGGGGGAAAAGGAGAGAGCAGGAAGCGCCTCTTTGTTCTGCATGCCCCTCCACCTCGCCTCCTCCTCTCCTGGAGTCACCGTCTGCGCCAGCCAAGGTAGAGCGGAGGCGGGGACGGGGGGGTGGGAGTGGGGGGAGAGAGGGATGAGGGAGGTGGACGTGGGGAGAGAGGGATGAGGGAGGTGGACGTGGGGAGAGGGATGAGTGAGGTGGATGTGGGGAGAGAGGGATGAGTGAGGTGGATGTGGGGAAGGGAGAGCCGAGGGAGTGGAGAGGAGAATGAGGGTGAGGGAAGGCCTGCAATGTGAAGGCCCAGGCAGTGCAAAGGCCGAGGCAGTGCGGCAGCTCACCTGCACATGGCAGCTATCTATGTGTTAATCACGTGAAGGGCCATACACTCACACAGTAACCTCAGGAGCTAGCTTTCCTGCATATGAACGAGTTTCGCAACCTGTGCTCACCTGCACGCCCCCTGCCAGTGTGTGCAGCTGCGGGTTCTTGATCAGGTTTTCCACGCTGCGCCCGTGCGCCGTCGCGATGAGCTGCACGCCGCGCTGCGCAATGGTGGCAGCTGCTGCGGCCTCCAGGTCCGACCCGATCTCGTCGATGATCACGGCCTGCGGCATGTGGTTCTCCACCGCCTCGATCATCACCTGCTGGGGGGGATGTTGGAGGAAGAGGCACAAAAACCTCCCTGGACGGGCCTCTCATCTCGTCCATGATCACGGCCTGCGGCATGTGGTTCTCCACCGCCTCGATCATCACCTGCTGGGGGGGATGTTGGAGGAAGAGGCACAAAAACCTCCCTGGACGGGCCTCTCATCTCGTCCATGATCACGGCCTGCGGCATGTGGTTCTCCACGGCTTCTATCATCACCTGGTGCAGGGGAGGGGGAGGAACGTGGCGGTTCTATCATCCCCTCTGTGATCACGATGGGGGGTCCTCTACCACTATTTCATCTCGTTGATGATCACCGCCTGGGATCAGTCGGTGCATGCATTATCTTTTCGCTGCGATCATCAATGAGCCACGGCGTGGATCATCACGTGATGCAGGGGAAAGAGAGGCACGTGGATCTTCCCTCATCTTCTCTTCCCTCATCTTCTCATCCCTCATCTTCTCTTCCCTCATCTTCTCATCCCTCATCTTCTCATCCCTCATCTTCTCATCCCTCATCTTCTCATCCCTCATCTTCTCATCCCTCATCTTCTCATCCCTCATCTTCTCATCCCTCATCTTCTCATCCCTCATCTTCTCATCCCTCATCTTCTCATCCCTCATCTTCTCATCCCTCATCTTCTCATCCCTCATCTTCTCATCCCTCATCTTCTCATCCCTCATCTTCTCATCCCTCATCTTCTCATCCCTCATCTTCTCATCCCTCATCTTCTCATCCCTCATCTTCTCATCCCTCATCTTCTCATCCCTCATCTTCTCATCCCTCATCTTCTCATCCCTCATCTTCTCATCCCTCATCTTCTCATCCCCCCCCCCCCCCCCCCCCCCCCTCATCTTCTCATCCCTCATCTTCTCATCCCTCATCTTCTCATCCCTCATCTTCTCATCCCTCATCTTCTCATCCCTCATCTTCTCATCCCTCATCTTCTCATCCCTCATCTTCTCATCCCTCATCTTCTCATCCCTCATCTTCTCATCCCTCATCTTCTCATCCCTCATCTTCTCATCCCTCATCTTCTTCTCATCCCTCATCTTCTCATCCCTCATCTTCTCATCCCTCATCTTCTCATCCCTCATCTTCTCATCCCTCATCTTCTCATCCCTCATCTTCTCATCCCTCATCTTCTCATCCCTCATCTTCTCATCCCTCATCTTCTCATCCCTCATCTTCTCATCCCTCATCTTCTCATCCCTCATCTTCTCATCCCTCATCTTCTCATCCCTCATCTTCTCATCCCTCATCTTCTCATCCCTCATCTTCTCATCCCTCATCTTCTCATCCCTCATCTTCTCATCCCTCATCTTCTCATCCCTCATCTTCTCATCCCTCATCTTCTCATCCCTCATCTTCTCATCCCTCATCTTCTCATCCCTCATCTTCTCATCCCTCATCTTCTCTCATCCCTCATCTTCTCATCCCTCATCTTCTCATCCCTCATCTTCTCATCCCTCATCTTCTCATCCCTCATCTTCTCATCCCTCATCTTCTCATCCCTCATCTTCTCATCCCTCATCTTCTCATCCCTCATCTTCTCTTCCCTCATCTTCTCATCCCTCATCTTCTCATCCCTCATCTTCTCATCCCTCATCTTCTTCCCTCATCTTCTCATCCCTCATCTTCTCATCCCTCATCTTCTCATCCCTCATCTTCTCATCCCTCATCTTCTCATCCCTCATCTTCTCATCCCTCATCTTCTCTCCCTCATCTTCTCATCCCTCATCTTCTCATCCCTCATCTTCTCATCCCTCATCTTCTCATCCCTCATCTTCTCATCCCTCATCTTCTCATCCCTCATCTTCTCATCCCTCATCTTCTCATCCCTCATCTTCTCATCCCTCATCTTCTCATCCCTCATCTTCTCATCCCTCATCTTCTCATCCCTCATCTTCTCATCCCTCATCTTCTCATCCCTCATCTTCTCATCCCTCATCTTCTCATCCCTCATCTTCTCATCCCTCATCTTCTCATCCCTCATCTTCTCATCCCTCATCTTCTCATCCCTCATCTTCTCATCCCTCATCTTCTCATCCCTCATCTTCTCATCCCTCATCTTCTCATCCCTCATCTTCTCATCCCTCATCTTCTCATCCCTCATCTTCTCATCCCTCATCTTCTCATCCCTCATCTTCTCATCCCTCATCTTCTCATCCCTCATCTTCTCATCCCTCATCTTCTCATCCCTCATCTCTCATCCCTCATCTTCTCATCCCTCATCTTCTCATCCCTCATCTTCTCATCCCTCATCTTCTCATCCCTCATCTTCCCCTCTCATCCCTCATCTTCTCATCCCTCATCTTCTCATCCCTCATCTTCTCATCCCTCATCTTCTCATCCCTCATCTTCTCATCCCTCATCTTCTCATCCCTCATCTTCTCATCCCTCATCTTCTCATCCCTCATCTTCTCATCCCTCATCTTCTCATCCCTCATCTTCTCATCCCTCATCTTCTCATCCCTCATCTTCTCATCCCTCATCTTCTCTTCCCTCATCTTCTCATCCCTCATCTTCTCATCCCTCATCTTCTCTTCCCTCATCTTCTCATCCCTCATCTTCTCATCCCTCATCTTCTCTTCCCTCATCTTCTCATCCCTCATCTTCTCATCCCTCATCTTCTCATCCCTCATCTTCTCATCCCTCATCTTCTCATCCCTCATCTTCTCTTCCCTCATCTTCTCATCCCTCATCTTCTCATCCCTCATCTTCTCATCCCTCATCTTCTCATCCCTCATCTTCTCATCCCTCATCTTCTCATCCCTCATCTTCTCATCCCTCATCTTCTCATCCCTCATCTTCTCATCCCTCATCTTCTCTTCCCTCATCTTCTCATCCCTCATCTTCTCATCCCTCATCTTCTCATCCCTCATCTTCTCATCCCTCATCTTCTCATCCCTCATCTTCTCATCCCTCATCTTCTCATCCCTCATCTTCTCATCCCTCATCTTCTCATCCCTCATCTTCTCATCCCTCATCTTCTCATCCCTCATCTTCTCATCCCTCATCTTCTCTTCCCTCATCTTCTCATCCCTCATCTTCTCATCCCTCATCTTCTCATCCCTCATCTTCTCATCCCTCATCTTCTCTTCCCTCATCTTCTCATCCCTCATCTTCTCATCCCTCATCTTCTCTTCCCTCATCTTCTCATCCCTCATCTTCTCATCCCTCATCTTCTCTTCCCTCATCTTCTCATCCCTCATCTTCTCATCCCTCATCTTCTCATCCCTCATCTTCTCATCCCTCATCTTCTCATCCCTCATCTTCTCATCCCTCATCTTCTCATCCCTCATCTTCTCATCCCTCATCTTCTCATCCCTCATCTTCTCTTCCCTCATCTTCTCATCCCTCATCTTCTCATCCCTCATCTTCTCATCCCTCATCTTCTCATCCCTCATCTTCTCATCCCTCATCTTCTCATCCCTCATCTTCTCATCCCTCATCTTCTCATCCCTCATCTTCTCATCCCTCATCTTCTCATCCCTCATCTTCTCTTCCCTCATCTTCTCATCCCTCATCTTCTCATCTCTCATCTTCTCATCCCTCATCTTCTCATCCCTCATCTTCTCATCCCTCATCTTCTCATCCCTCATCTTCTCATCCCGCCAGCCATCACCACCACCGCTCACCGGCTTGTATCAGCACGCCATGCCATGGAGGAGAGCAGAAGGGGACAAGGCGCGCATACAGCTCAGCAGTGCGCGCATGCACCACCCTCCATCGCCACTCCCACCAGCCGCCCACCTGGTGCTGCCGCCCACCTGGTGCTGCAGCTCGACGTGCGGCACTTGCATGCGGCGGGCGGTGCCAATGGCAGCGTGAGCAATGTCCCCATCGCCCGCTATCTCGTTGCTCGTGTCCACCACCACCACGCGCCGTCCACACTCGTCCGCTAGGATGCGCGCCACCTCCCTGAGAGTGACGCATGGGGCGCGGGGCACGGATCAGACAGTTGATCCAAGGATATGGCACAAGTGAATGACTTTCGGCAAACACATGCGCTCACCGCCAGATGGAGCCAAAGCACAGGTCATAGCGGATGGGGAGGCGGGCACGGGACCTGCCACGACGCCATTCCCCTCTCTTCCCCGCACCACACACACACCTCTCTCTCCTCTTCCTCATTCGCCAGTACCCAATACCCATGGTCTTGCCCACCCTTCCTTCCCTCCCCCCACCCCCTCTCCCCTCTCCCCTCTCCCCTCTCCCCTCTCCCCTCTCCCCTCTCCCCTCTCCCCTCTCCCCTCTCCCCTCTCCCCTCTCCCCTCTCCCCTCTCCCCTCTCCCCTCTCCCCTCTTCCCTCCTCAACCGCCCGCACCTGATGGCGGTGGTCTTCCCCACGCCCGGCGCACCCATGAGCAGCAGCGACTCGCCCGCTGCCACGAGGTCACGCACCATCTCCGCGCTGCCCGAGATGGCGCGCCCCACGCGGCACGTCAGCCCGATGACCCGCCCCGCGCGGTTGCGGATGGCGCTGATTCGGTGCAGCGTGCGGTCGATCCCTGCCCGGTTGTCCGCGCCGAACTCCCCAACCTGCCACACAGGGAAGGGTCAGGAGAGGACAGACGGACGGTGAGGCATGTGAAAACGGAGGTCCATACGGGATGGCACTTTGAGCACAGGGTTGGACACCAAGGTACGAATTCAACAAGACCTGCGTACAGCAAGGAAGGGATTCACACACACACATGAACATGCAAGCACACGGTGAGTGGTAGGAATGAGAAAGACGAGTCAGCCGGACTCCAGAGACCCCAGACTTCAGACCCCAGACTTCAGACCCCAGACTTCAGACCCCGGACTTCAGGAGGGCAGAGGGACGAGGGGAGAGGGCAGAGGGACGAGGGGAGAGGGCAGATGGACGAGGGGAGAGGGCAGAGGGACGAGGGGAGAGGGCAGAGGGACGAGGGGAGAGGGCAGAGGGACGGAAAAGGAGGAGAATGAGGCGCGGGGGAGAGTCATTGGCTGGCAGCGCGAGGTCAAGCGGACGAGTGGGGGTCCACGCAGGGGAGATGGTGGTTGGATGCAGCATGAGTGGAGAGGGAGGGCGCGGGGCAAGGGAAGAGGGCGGAGGGCGGAGGGCGGAGGGCGGAGGGGGAGAGCATGACGGGCGCTACCTGCCACACGCAGTACTCAATGTCGCTCGCTGTAACCACATCGTCGCACACGAAAACGTCGCCCAGGGGGAACCGTGCGACTGGCCGACGGCCCAGATCGAGCACCACCTCCACCAGCGAATGGACGGAGGGATGCCGTTGCAGCACTTCGCGAACCTTCCCTGGAAGCATCGTCAGAAGCTTCGCCAGCTCTTCTCCAAATCCCTCCGCCGGCGGAATCTCTAGAACCTCGCGAGGCGTCGGATCAGGGAGGGACGGCCGTGGGGACAAATCTGGGCCGTCAGTATCGCTGGCAGAAGCGGAGGAGACGGAAATCGCGTGGATGCGCGAGACACTCTTGGAATGGCGAGGACGTGATGATCGGCCGGGAGTGCGCACCGACCGAGACCTGGAGTCAGAGCGACGACTGGTCCGCGTGCGACAGGCGGGAAGGCCAAGGCATCGCGAGACGCCATTATCCGCGCCTAAACCGACCGCGCGGCCCAGCAAGTCGGCAGTAAGGCCCGCACTCCACGCGGCCATGGCGGGGAAAGACGGGGAGCAGTGAAGGAGGAGGTGGGTGGGATGCTGCTCAGACTAGCTACTCTCGGAGAAGCAGGCTTCCTGTGGATGACGCGGCTGGCTGTCTACTCTATGCCTTCACGCTGTCCTGGGCAGGCTCGTCCTTCATCTGCCACCTGAAGGGCGACTGGTACTTATGGAGACTAGTGCGTAGAAGAGTGCCACGTGCTATGGCTGCAGAGATAGCCACGTCGCACAGTTCGGAGTTGCTGCCGAAGCGGAACATGTTCACATAAAATCATTCTGTTAGGCAAAATTGTTGGTTAACTGTAATCGTGCTAGTGTGCTGCATGGTTCACTTGTGCATTTGCCGCATCCTTCTCAATGCCGCGGACAAATTTTCGAGTCAATCTGGGTCCTCCTGGCACTTCCAGAAGGTGCTTCGGAATCTCACCAGAAGCAGAAGTAGAAGCAGAAGCAGAAGCAGAAGCAGATTCCGTCATTTCCCGCCATGGATGGTGTCGCGTTTCGCAGGCTCAATTGATTCCTGACGCCTGACTCAATCCACTGCTTTTTCTCATCGTCATTCGCCCACCCACTCCCTCCACCGCTGATTTAGCCTTCGTCGCTCTCTCGTTGCGACCGCATTATTCGCTCTAGCAGTTGCAATCGCAAAGTTGTTGCGATCGCGTCGGGCGTTGCGATCCCAACGTGTCTGTCGTCGCAGCCATGATCGCAGTCGTCGCAGCTCCTCGTAGAGTCGCCATGTCGCCGAGGCTGCTCGCGGCGGTCGCCGTCGCGTTGAGCCTCGTCGCTCTCTCCGCCGCCATGTTCGCTCCGGACAGGTAATTCGCCTGACGGATAAATCTCGTTATGAGACGTTTCAGTAGAAGCACATCGCCGGTTCGTTATCCCAGTCAGATCGCCGCATCGGTTCAAATGCGCGCATGTGGCGCCTGCTCTCCGCCGTCCGTCGCCATTATCGCTCTCCGTCGTTCATCAGACGCAGCCTTGTCACACTCAATCTCACCCCCCTCCCCTCGCGGGACTCCCCTCTACCTGCCGTACCACCCGTACCCCCATCGTCCCCCCATGCCCCCCATGCCCCCCCATTGCCCCCCATGGCACGGCAGCAACGTGGCATCGCTGGACTCGGACGGCTTCACCAGCCAAGTGCTCGGCCAACCCGCCGTCTGGCTCGTACTGCCCCCTCCTGCCCGCCTCTCCGTCGCGCTCTCCCGTCCTCCCGCTTTTCCTACGCTTCTTCCCCCGACGCTTCATGTGCTGTCCTGTGCTGTCCCGACGTTTCCTGTGCTGTCCTGTGCTGTCCCGACGTTTCCTGTGCTGCCCTCTCATCCCTCCTCCCCTCCACGCGTCCCTCCCTCCTGCACGCCCCTCTCCCTTTCTCACGCCCTCCCCCACTCCCGTTCTCCCCCATTCCCGTTCTCCCCCACTCCCGTTCTCCCCCACTCCCGTTCTCCCCCCCTCCCGCTCTCCCGTTCTCCCGCTCTCCCCTCCTCCCCCCTCCCACCAGGTGGAGTTCCACCAGGACAAGTGCGAGCCGTGCCTGCAGTTCGCGCCCGAGGTCGCCAAGGTCGCGGACCTGCTCAAAGGACTCGTCAAGGTGGGGGGGGGGATGCGCGGTGGCATGGGGGATGCGCGGTGGCATGGGGGATGCGCGGTGCCATGGGGGATGCGCGGTGCCATGGGGGATGCGCGGTGCGATGGGGCGATGTATGGTAGATGAAAGAGCGTTGGGACATAAGGGAGGGGTGTTTCTTAGAACCAAGAACGAAGACTTTCAGTGACCCACGCACGCCGGGGCTTAGCCCCTTCCTCTCGCTCACTCCTTCTCCGCACTCTCCTCACACCTCCCCCGCCCCCCTTCTCTCCTCCCCTCCGTGTCTCCGCCCCCTCCTTTCGTACCCGTGGCAGGTGGGCGCGGTGAACTGCAACAAGGCGCCGGAGATATGCATGCAGGCGCAGATCAAGGTGCGCGCTGCGCCCCGCCTCTTGACCCTGCTGTGCCGCCCTTTCCTCTGCTCTCTTGTCCCTGCTGTGCCGCCCTTTCCTCTGCTCTCTTGTCCCTGCTGTGCCGCCCTTTCCTCTGCTCTCTTGTCCCTGCTGTGCCGCCCTTTCCTCTGCTCTCTTGTCCCTGCTGTGCCGCCCTTTCCTCTGCTCTCTTGTCCCTGCTGTGCCGCCCTTTCCTCTGCTCTCTTGTCCCTGCTGTGCCGCCCTTTCCTCTGCTCTCGTGCTTCTGCACTGCTCTGATTCCACAAACCCTTGGGCTATCTCGGCCCTCCCTGTATTTGCCTCTCGGCCTCACTCTCCCTTCACCCGCCCCTCATCCCTGTGCGTGCGCCCTCCCACACCCCCCGTGTGTGGCGCCAACAGGAGCTGCCGGCATTCAGGGTGAGTGCCGCCGCCGCCAATGTGCCTCTCACCGCCACATTCGAAAGGGAAGGAGGGAAGGAGGGACGGCGCAGGGGGGGCGCAGGGGGGGCATGGTGCGGCGGGAGGGGAGAGCGTGGGGTGGTTGAAGTTCAAGCTGCACGACTTCTGAGATCCTCCACGAGCCCTTTCCATGCTTCCCTCCACGCTTTCTCCCATCCCCGCCACCATCCCCGCCACCATCCCCGCCACCATCCCCGCCACCATCCCCGCCACCATCCCCGCCACCATCCCCGCCACCATCCCCGCCACCATCCCCGCCACCATCCCCGCCACCATCCCCGCCACCATCACGGCTGCTTGCTTCTTCTCCCCCATAGCCACCACCAGCACCTCCACTCTCGCCTCACGTCGCTCGCCTCTCACACTCACACCTCTCCCGTCTCCCCTCTCCCCTCTCCCTTCCCCCCCAGCTGTACCCATGGGAGGTGAAGGCGAATCCGTACACGCAGAAGCTCTACAAGGACGCGCCGCAGGTGTACGCTGGGGAGAACACTGCCAAGGCGCTCGTTGCCTTTGCCACTGGTGAGTCTGCCGCACCTTGCACCTTGTATCCGTGCCTCACCCACCTCACCCTGCATGTTCCCTCTCTCCTGCCCCCTCTCCCTCCTTCAATTCTGCCTTCCCTTCACCATCACCTGCTGTGCCCCTGCCAGCCGCGCTGCCGCACGACCTGGTGGCCAACATCTCATCCGGCGACTCCGCCGACGCCTTCCTCGCAGCCAACGCCACCCTCAACAAGGTGCGCCGCAAGCCTCACACAAGTCCATTCATGTGCGCCCATTCATGTGCGCCCATTCATGTGCGCCCATTCATGTGCGCCCATGCCTCTTCTGCGTTTCTCTCTCCTGCCTCCGTGTTTTGCCCTCATTCTCTCGTTTATGCCTCTTGGCGTCTCTTCCTCCTACTTGCGCATCGGCGCCACACCAACTGATCCTTGCCTCGTGATACTCCTCTCGCCCATCCCAGGTGGTGCTCTTCTCCGCCAAGCCCGCTGTCACGCCGCTCTTCAAGGCGCTCTCCCTGCTCTTCAGGTGGGCCCTCACGCCTCGCCGCGCACTGGCATCTCCCGCAACTGCCAGGCTTCCACATGCCTCTTTATCGTCTTTCCTTGGCATTAACATGCTTCTGCTCACCACGCGTTTCCTTTCCCCTTCCACGGCGCGTGGCAGGAAGCGGCTGGTGTTTGCGCAGGCCAAGTCCACCGATGACGCCCTCACTGCGTCTTTTGACGCCACTGCCTTCCCCGCGCTCTTTGTGCACAAGGTCACACACCCATCCCTCCCTCTTTCCCCTTCTTACCCTCTTCCCTGTGCCATGCCCCCCTGGTCCTGCCATTCCCCTGGTCCTGCCCTTCCCCTGGTCATCGCTTCCCGCATCCTGCCCACCTGCTCCCATCGGCCTCCCCCCACTCACATTCACGCATTCATCCTGCATCCCCCCCTCCTCATCCCCCCAGGTGGACGGCACCAGGGAGCGCTACGAGGGCCCGCTCAAGCCCGAGCCCATCGCAGCCTTCCTCGAGCAGTTCGCTGCCCCTCCTCTGTCCGCCGCTGACTCAGCGACAGCTGGCGACGCGGACGGGGGCACCGGGGGGGGAGCGGGGGAGCAGCAGCAGCAGCAGCGGTGGGTGCGGGCGATGCAGGGCGCGAATGTGAGCAGCGAGGTGCTGCAGCGCGAGGAGATGTGGATGCTGGCGCTCACCTCCTCCAATGGTCAGATGCCACGTGCCTTCTCCTGGCCCTTGCCTCGTATGCGTGTACGGCGAACCTTGCATGCCAACATGACATGTTTTTTATCACATTGGTGTGGCTCTATGACGTGCTGCCGTCTCAAACTCTCGTAATGCACGTTGTTCTTCCCTCTTGAGTGCGGTGCAGAGGAGTGCAGGGAGGTGAAGGAGAAGTTTGAGAAGACAGCAGAGGAGCTCGTGGGCATGGTGAGGCAGGGGAGGGGATGGATAGACTGATAGACTGCAGGACGCAGCACTACATGGCATGGCGTGCTCTCGTCACATGGTGTGGGTTGTATTGATGGCGTGCTCTCGTCACATGGTGTGGGTTGTATTGATGGCGTGCTCTCGTCACATGGTGTGGGTTGTATTGATGGCGTGCTCTCGTCACATGGTGTGGGTTGTATTGATGGCGTGCTCTCGTCACATGGTGTGGGTTGTATTGATGGCGTGCTCTCGTCACATGGTGTGGGTTGTATTGATGGCGTGCTCTCGTCACATGGTGTGGGTTGTATTGATGGCGTGCTCTCGTCACATGGTGTGGGTTGTATTGATGGCGTGCTCTCGTCACATGGTGTGGGTTGTATTGATGGCGTGCTCTCGTCACATGGTGTGGGTTGTATTGATGGCGTGCTCTCGTCACATGGTGTGGGTTGTATTGATGGCGTGCTCTCGTCACATGGTGTGGGTTGTATTGATGGCGTGCTCTCGTCACATGGTGTGGGTTGTATTGATGGCGTGCTCTCGTCACATGGTGTGGGTTGTATTGATGGCGTGCTCTCGTCACATGGTGTGGGTTGTATTGATGGCGTGCTCTCGTCACATGGTGTGGGTTGTATTGATGGTACGAGAGAAGCATGGCATGCACCTTGCATACGGCACCTGTGTCGCCCAGCAGGCACTCACTCTATGCTCTCACTCCCCCCCCCCACATCGCCCTCTCCCATCCGCAGATCTTTGTGGGCGTGCTTGACATGCACACAGATGAAGACGCCACCAGGTGAGCCTGTGAGGGCCAATGCGTGCTGGCTTGCTGTGCCTCCCCTCAGGCCTTTGTGGGCGTGCTCCCCTCACCCCGTGCCACGCCTCTCCATACTCGCTCCTTCCACCCTCCCCCATGTTTTTTCTACCCCCAGATTGTTTCCCTCGTCTCCCCCACGTCGTCCGCTCCCACCCACTTCACTCCCTCCCGTCTTACTCACCCGTCTCTCCCCCTGCAACCTGTGCACATCCCCCTGCAACCTGTGCACATCCCCCTGCAACCTGTGCACATCCCCCTGCAACCTGTGCACATCCCCCTGCAACCTGTGCACATCCCCCTGCAACCTGTGCACATCCCCCTGCAACCTGTGCACATCCCCCTGCAACCTGTGCACATCCCCCTGCAACCTGTGCACATCCCCCTGCAACCTGTGCACATCCCCCTGCAACCTGTGCACATCCCCCTGCAACCTGTGCACATCCCCCTGCAACCTGTGCACATCCCCCTGCAACCTGTGCACATCCCCCTGCAACCTGTGCACATCCCCCTGCAACCTGTGCACATCCCCCCAGTCTGGCGGCCAAGTACGGAGTGAAGGAGCCGTGTGGTGAGGTGCTGTTCTTCCCGCTGGGCGAGGACAAGGAGGAGGGCGACCCCGAGGTGCGAGACCCCGACCTACACACGATGCGCTTTCCATCCTCCTCCTCCAACTACCGAATACTCACTAAATGTAGCTGGCCGCCCTCAACTCTTTGCTGCACCGCAACAAGTATGCACTCTCCTCCATCACCGTCCCTCCTCTCCCTCTCACCTCCCCATCTCCCCGCCAGCGCATGCCCCTATCATCGTCCCTCAAGGCGCTGACAGCAGCGGTGTACTCTCTGGCGCCCGACTCCTTCGTGCGTCACATCACCGCCGGCTCGCTCGAGGTCTTCGCACAGACCAACCCGCTACAGCCCAAGGTGAGCGCAGACCAACCCGCTACAGCCCAAGGTGAGCCCGCTTATATAACCTAGAGGTGCGGCCCCCTTTTCTTCATCCGAAGCTGAGGGTGCGTTTTTCGGCACAGCAATTGTGTTTCACATCGTTTCAAAGCAGCAGCAGCAGCTCTGAGAATTATCAAGAACGAGGCACTGCTCGGCTTAACTGCTGCAACTGTATCTCCTGCCCAACACCCGTGCTCCCCGTGTGCAGGTTTTTCTGTTCACGAGTAAGAAGGAGACACCCGGCATGTACAAAGTGCTCTCCACCACCTTCCGCAAAGATGCTCTCTTCGCCCTCGTAAGTGCGCCGCCCTCCCACCTCTCCCTCCCCCCTCTCCTGCCTCCAGTGGTCCGGTAGTGCAGTGGTCCTGTGGTCCGGTAGTGCAGTGGTCCGGTAGTGCAGTGGTCCGGTAGTGCAGTGGTCCGGTAGAGCAGTGGTGCAGTGGTCCTGTGCTGCAGTGCTGCTCCAGTGACCCGCTGCAACTCTAGTGCTCCAGTGATCCGGTGATCCAGTGATCCAGCATTACCCTCTCATTCATATCCCCCTCACCACATCCCTCACCACATCCCTTCATCCCCCTGCACCGCACCAGGTGCATGAGAGTGAGAAGAAGATAGTGGCGCGATTCAAAGTCACCAAGTTCCCCCATGTGAGTGCGCTGCCCCCTTGCCCCCTTGCTGCTCTCCACGTCCATCACTTTATGCCCCTGTAGTCATGCTCGTTCAAGCGCACTACCATGCACCTCTGCTGCGTTACTCGCCATCTCCCCTCCTCCTGCATTCTCTCACTTTCTCCCATCACTCCTCTCCACCCTCTCCATCCCTGTCCGCCCTTTCCCACCGCTCTCCACCGCTCTCCACCGCACTGCAGATGTCGATAATGTTTCCGGCGCCCAGTCCCGGGCGTGAGGGCGAGGTGCAGCTGACGGTGCGCGACTTCCCCGGGCCGCTCAAGTACCACTCGGTGGCGCCACAGCTCATGCAGGTGAGGTCATCTGAGAGGCATGTGGGTGCAGGGGGTTATGGCATGGTGGCTTGCTCAAATCCTCCCTTCCCCACCTTGGCTCCATCGCTACTCTCCCAATCCCTCTTCCCCCGCACTTCCATTCACCTCCCAGCTGGTCGCGGCGGCACGGCAGTTTGCGGCGCCATCGGCGGAGATAGTGGAGCTGGGCACGGGCAAGGTGGGGCAGGACGACGCCTTCCAGACCGACTGCGTTGACTCCAACCGGTGGGTTGGCCCCAAAGGGGGAGTGTAGCCCCCAGATTCTCTCGTGGGTGGGGAGTGTAGCCTCTAAGGTTGCCCAACTGTGTCGAGATCAGGTGCGTGTTCTTGATAGCAACGGCCTCCGCATTTCATCATTCCATCCTGCTCTGCACAGCTATCTCCGATCCTCTCTCACCCTCCTCCCTGCTGCCCTCCACTGACCTCTCTCTCCTACCGCCTCTCCCTTCCACTCCCCCCCAGGCTGTGCGTGATCGGCCTCTTCAACACCGACTCCCCTCTCGACCAGCTCAAGCGCGTGGCAGCCAAGTGGCAGCGGGGCGGCCAGTTTGTCTTCATGTGGCTGGACGCCGGGCGGCACAAGGCGGTGGCGGCGCGCGTGCTGCCAGTGGTGGGCGTGAGCCCCCCCGACCTGCCGACGGCGGTGGTGGTGAGCCCGCGCAAGATGCGGTGCGCCGCGCTGCCCGAGGCCTTCTCTCCCCCCGTGCTCGACGCCTTCCTCGACTCGCTGCTGGCCGGCCGCGTCCGCACCTTCGCACTTGATGTGAGTGGGAGGAACATGTGTCGTCGCAGGGGCTCATGCCGCATGCCATCTCTTCGTCCCGCATGAGCCGCCGCCTCTCCACCAAATCACTCTCCTCTGCTTCCCTGCACCTCCGCTGCTGACACCTCCGCTGCTGACCCCTCGTTCGGATCTTCCAACTTCCATTTTCCCTCTACTCACCTCCCTCCTCTCTCCTCTCCCCACCCCCCTCATCCCCTCAGCGCCTGCCCTCCTTCCTGCCGGGCCAGTCGGGGGAGACAGCCGCGGCATCAGAGGCAAGCGAGGAGACAGAAGAGCCAGAGCAGATAGAGGAAGAGGTGGGTGCCTGCTGATGCATGGAAGACCTTGGAGTCTCAGCCAACCATCACGTCATCACAAACTCACTCTCACCCCATCCCTCACAACCTGATCGCCCTCACTCCACTCCCACTCTCTCACATGCCACCTCACCTCATCTCATCCCCCCCGCTCTCTCCCTCTCTCCCTCTCTCCCTCTCTCCCTCTCTCCCTCTCTCCCTCTCTCCCTCTCTCCCTCTCTCCCTCTCTCCCTCTCTCCCTCTCTCCCTCTCTCCCTCTCTCCCTCTCTCCCTCTCTCCCTCTCTCCCTCTCTCCCTCTCTCCCTCTCTCCCTCTCTCCCTCTCTCCCTCTCTCCCACGCTCCCCCTCTCCCCCTCTCTCCCTCTCTCCCTTTCGCCCTCTGGCCCTCGCGCCGGCGCGGCCGGGGCAGGAGTTTGACCTGGCGGACATCATGAGCGAGCAGGTGGAGGATGCTGACGCTGTCGCTTCCAAGGAGCACAAGATTCTGCAGGTGGGCATGGCTTAGTGGGCATGGCTTAGTGGCACACTAGTCTGTGCCCCAAGCTAGATCCCTGAACCGAGCTTCTTGGCTGTTCTAACATCCTCTTCCACATCTCCTCACTCTCTCACTCACTGTCCGCCATCTTCCCTCCTCCTTCACTCACTCACTCACTGCCTACCATCTGCCCTCCTCCCTCACTCACTCACTGCCTGCCATCTGCCCTCCTCCGTCACTCACTCACTCCCTGCCATCTGTCCCCTCCCTCCCTCCCTCCCTCCCTCACTCATACGCACGGCCCGCCATCAGTCCGCCCTCCCTCCCTCATTCACTCACTCACTCCCTGCCATCTGCCCCCTCCCTCCCTCATTTACTCATACGCACTGCCTGTCATCTGCCCTCCGCCCTCCCTCCCTCAGTCACTCACTCACTGCCTGCCATCCCTTCTGCCTGCCTCCGCCCTCCCTCCCTTCTCTCCCTTTTTCCTCCCTCCCTCACTCACTCACGCATGGCCCGCCATCTGTCCCCCTCCCTCCATCACTCACTCAATCACTGCCTGCCATCTGGCCTCCGCCCTCCCTCCCTCCCTCACTCACTCACTCACTCACTGCCTGCCATCTGCCCCCTTCCCTCCTTCCTCCCTCCCTCCCTCCCTCACGCACGCATGGCCCGCCATCTGGCCCCCTCCCTCCCTCGCTCACTCAATCACTGCCTGCCATTTGCCCCCCTCCCTCCTTCACTCACCCACTCCCTCACTGCCTGCCATCTGCCCCCCTCCCTCCCTCCCTCCCTCACGCACGCCCCTTCTCTCCCTCACTCATTCAACCACTGCCTGCCATCTGCCCCCTTCCCTCTCTCCCTTACTCACTCACTCACTCACTGCCTGCCATCTGCCCTCCTTTGCCCTCCACCCTGCGGGCCTCTGGCATGGCAGGCTGACAAGGAGGCAGAGGAGGAGGCAGCCAGGAAGTTAGCGGAGGCGGAGGCAGCAAAGAAGGCGTCCAAGAAGAAGAAGAAGAAGAGCAAGGGCAAGAAGAAGAGCAGCAAGGCTGCAGACGCGGACGTGAGGGATGAGCTGTAGCTTGGGGGCACTGCTCCGCTGCACTTGCGGTATTTTGGAGGAGACAACACGGGTGGTGCACAATCAGATGCGCTTCTTACATTGTAAAAACAGTGCGTTTCGCAACAGCTAAGAAGCACAGCTTGCGTTGGAGCTATCTAAAGAAGACCCACACTTCACAGGAGGAGGCTGCGCTGCCTTGGGGTGCATTCCTACGAGCTGTGTTGCTCCCAACTTTTGGGAGCAGCGGCAATTTAAAACTGTCGCGAGATTTCACCCCATTCGTTCATTCAAGCTGCTTACAATGTGGAGCCCAACCCGAGCGTGACAGAATTCGCACAACAGCAGCGCGCCAAACTGACGAGTGGCACAGAATGCAGCAACCGTTTGGTCTTTTATACTCTTCTGGAGTTTCACAAAATGAAAGTGCTTGCTTGAAATTATAATTTTTAACACACGTAGTGTTCTTCAAAAATTGTGTATTGTGAAAGCGAAGCTGATTGTACTGAAGCGTTGGGCATCGTCGAAGCGCGCTACTCGCCCCTCTCCAACTACATATACGTGGGTTGGAGCTCATTTACCTCCACCCACGTCTCTCATTTTTCAAACGGCTCATTCAACCTTCCCGCTCTAGCTTTTCTCCCGTTCAAGCTGGCTAAGACTAGTGTTGGAAATATCTCAAAGAACTTAAGCGTTTCTGAAGTGTAACACTACACTCGAGGAAGACTACAGGGGAGCACGCGAGTCAACGGAGGTTACACGAGGGGGCGGACAAAGAATGCGAAAAGACCCGAAAGGTCGCAACTGGAGGTTGCGACTGACCGTTACAGCATCACGGATGATAACCGAAGCGGCAATCGAGTCGCTATGCGACTCGATAAACCGTTCCTGTAACTGTACTCTGCAACTGCTTTCTTATCTTCTATATATTGCTGTATGCTTGTTTCTTTAATCAATCACTTGTTCTCATATACTAGTACAAGGGTTCAACTGCCTCAACTTCCGCTGCACTACTCCAAGTCTCAAGTCTCCACAGCTGGAACTTAGTCTCTGCAAAAGATCCAAAGGGCTTTTCTCAGCCCAACATGGTATGAGAGCTGGTCAGAGACCAAACTCCCAGCAACTACGCTCCATCAACGACCTGCAACTCAACTCAATTCAACGACTTCATTGATTACAAGACATGGACAGCAAGGGCAAGAAAGTCTCTACGGGCTCACCCAGCGCCCAAGAAACTCAACACGGCAACTCTGGTCTGCACACCTCAGGACTGCAGACAGAGACCGGGACTGCTCAAGAAACAACGGGAAGAGCACCGGAGATGGTGACTCCGTCTCCCTCTTCAAGTGTGGACCCGAATCTCATGGAGAGATTCTTCAGCTTCATGTCACACTTCGACCAGCAGCAGCAGACAAGGACACCTGCGCACTCAACACAGAGCAATGGAGGGAATATGGGATTAGCGCCGATGAGCCTCGACAACTCATCCTTCGGGCGACACAATCAAGCACCTACTTTTGCGCCTTATCACTCTTCACCGGGGACGTTCGAGTTCATGCCGCCCCGTGCCCAGCCAACAGCAGCTGCATCACAACAAACACCGAACGAAATCTTAAGTCTTCAGGCACAGTTCTCACACGTAATTAAACTTCAGACATCCTCACCGTTCAACGGACACGACTTCTTTACCTGGAGCTTCGAGTTCGAGCTGCTGATGGAGGCCGCGCATCTTCTGGGATACTTCAACGGGTCCCTGCCATTCCCAAGCAACGGCACTGGGAAGGAACAAGAAATCTTCACGTATCAGTCGCTGCTGGCGTATACGGTACTCCTGAGAAACCTGTCACCACAAGAGCAGCAGAGCATCAGAACGTATCGAAGTTATGGAAACTCCGCGGAACTCGCATGGCATCATCTCAAGTGCCTCTATCAAGCAAACGACAGCGTGACACAAAGCAGACTCATGCAACAACTGACAACAATACAGATGAAGACCGGGGAAAAGGCGATGCAGTATATGAGTCGCTGCCAGACCCTCCGCGACCGCCTGCTTCGGTGCGGAGGAACGATCACTGAAGAAAGCTTCGTGACACTTGTCCTCGCCGGGCTCGGGCCAGAATGGAGAACCACACGATCACTTCTTCGTCGGATGCACCTCTGCGCCGAGCTTCACGCTGAACAACAGGAGATGGATCTGTTCGAGGAAAGACAACCAAGGAAGCAACAGCAGTTAGTCTTCTACACTCAAAGAAGAAATGACAACAACTACAACCGACGCAGCAAGCAAGATCAACGCGACAACCGAGGACTCACCATCGTACCGCCGTTCTGCCACAACTGCCAGACTTCCGGGCACTCCAAAGTCAACTGCAACCGCCCTCGCGTTTACCGTGCAGCAGACCCACAAGTCACTTCCACTCAAGCAAGTCCTCCAAGGCGCTCTTCAACATCTGCACAACAAACACCCAACATCATCAACTGCATGGTACACATCGACAACTGCGCACCCGGTTCACCACCCACTTACGCACCAGACGAAGAGGAATTCCCGCCGCCGCGCTCGCAAGGACTTCAGGTCAACCCGACATACGCTGCAGTCGCCAACGCCGAACCCACCGGGCGAAACACCTGGTTCTTGGACAGCTGCTGCGGTCAACACATGTGCTCCTCGGGACGCTTCGTGCAACAGGAGAAACGACTCAACCGCGACGTCGTCATCACAGTCGCCAACAACGAAAACCTGAAGACAAACAGACAAGGCGTGGTTCAGTTACAATCCATGGAAACAAACGTAATACTGCAGCTCAACAAAGTGCTCATTGTCGACAACCTGGGATACAATCTACTAAGCGTAAGCCAACTAATGGCCAAAGGGATTCACCTGGAGTGCGACTCTTACTCCAACGAGTTCCGGCTTTACCACGGGAAGGGCGGCCTCTTCATCGGTCGTGCCCTCCTGAAGTCCGGTGTCTTCGTGTTGGACTTCGTCCCCGACCGCGGAACTGCCGACAGCGATGGCATCGTATCGTTCGCCGCCTGGACTCACCCGCCGGATCTTGATCCCGACTTCGACAGTGACGGCTTCTGGCACTCCAACACCATACCTGCAGCAGAGAGAACACGAGCATTAGCAGTTATCAGACAAGAAAGACAAGTACCCGCAAGTGTCCCAACAAAACAATCACCTGCAGTATCGGCAGCAGGACCCAGCCGAGTACCACCACCATCAACACGAGGACCGCCAACGGAAGCAGACCAACTTATGCCCGCCACACGAGAAGCTTGTCGAAGTCCCGCCTCAGTCGTCGCGTTCTTCTCCAACGCCGACATCTACCACCGCTCGCCCGGTCACCGTGCTCCCGACGACATCTGGCACCAACGCCTCGGACACCCTGCAAACAGCACAATACTTCAAACAATCCAAGCAGAGGTGTTAGAACGCAACGCCCTTCTGACGACGAGCGGTCAAGAACTTCGACGACCACGCGCACGGTGCTTCACATGCCCCGAAGCAGATCTTCCTCATCAACCTTTTCCATCCCATCACAACCCAAGCGCACCTACTTACGCTCCGATGGAAAAAGTCTACAGCGATATTTTAAACATGCCTCGAGACGACGCCGAAGCCGACTTTAACTACGTCATCACTTTCATCGACGCCGCAACCAGATATGTCTGGCACTTCAATCTCAAAACGCGCGACCAAGCCTTCGAAGCCTTCACAACATGGCTCCCCATCGCCGAACGAGAATCAGGACTCAAACTCAAGAGCTTCCAGTCAGACGGTGCACTGGAATACCAGTCACAACGCTTCAGGACCTATCTGGCGGAAAGGGGAATCAGACGCCTGGTGTCCCTGCCCTATGCTCACCAACAGCAGGGGGTAGCAGAACGCATGAATCGGACCTTGCAGACGACGATGCGAAAACTTCTTTAGGGGATGCGACTGCCAACCACACTGTGGCCAGACGCGATGACACATGCTGTTCACCTGCACAACCTGCTGTCCTCGTCATCACTTCCCAACAACGCATCACCGCACCTGTTGTGGACAAGAAAAAGGGGCAGCACAAAATTACTCAGAGTCTTTGGCTGCATGGTACAGTACAGGCCCCACACAGCCCGAGCAGGACGCTTCACACAACGAGCTCGGTGGGGACTCCACCTCGGCATCGCGAAACATTTTCACGCGTGGAAAATTCTCGACATACAAGACAAAAACACGGTGGCATCACGAGACGTTATCTTCTACGAACGACTGACTCTGCAGCATTACCTGGACAACCTTGCCAACACACAAGACCCCACCGACGGCCTCTCGGGACTTCGTTCCTTCGCCGATCGTGCTGCCGAAGCTGACGCAGCAGAAGAAGACGTACCTGGAGCCTCGGAAGCTGCCGGGCCACTCCCATTCTGTTCCGTACCTGTTCCACTCGATGAAGATAATCCCCTCGATAGCAACAACCTCGACACCTTTCACCACTTCGCCGACCAAGGTTACGCTACACCTCACCCCGTCGACACGAATATTTCGGAACGCATCGGCCCCAATTTCTTACCTGACCCCGAAGACGGTGACGAAGCAGCTTATTCCGGGAATGACAATTCCCCTCGACACACACCCACGGGACTCCAGATTCTAGGCCTCTGGGTCTCCGTCCAGCATCCGCCGCCGCCTTCTACGCGTGAGCCTTCAACCTTGTCGCAGGCTCTGGGGGGGGAACATAAGGCAAAATGGAAAGAAGCGATGGAAAAGGAGTTAAAAGCTCTGCAAGACCGAGAAACATGGAAACTGGTACCTGCAACGAGCATCAACGGGAAGAACGTTCTCTCGGGGAAATGGGTGTACCGCATCAAGACCAACTCAGACGGCTCCATCGAACGATTCAAAGCTCGATGGGTCGTACGAGGCTTCGATCAACGATACGGAACCGACTACACAGAAACCTTCGCTCCAGTCTCCCGTCACACCTCATTACGCATCCTACTCGCCGTCGCGGCCACAAAAACACTACCACTACGCCAAATCGATATCGCGAATGCGTTCCTATACGCACATGTGGACGCTGAGATCTTCGTCGAACAACCCCACGGATTCATCGACGACCCCACGAAAATATGCCGACTGACAAAATCCCTATACGGGATCAAGCAAGCCCCGCGGCTCTGGCAGCAGCATCTTCACAGCCGTCTCGTAAAAATCGGCTTCCTACAGCTGCCGCATGACCAAGGGATGTACCGACTGCAGAAGGGAAGAGAGTATGTTCTGCTCATCGTCTACGTCGACGACCTGCTCTACATCGGCTCCACTACCGACATCGCCACCTGGTTCGAAGGGGAGCTGAAAGAAGATTTAACTCTCACGGTGTCCGACGAAGTTACGCAGTACCTAGGACTGAACGTCGTCGAAGACGACACGGCGTTCTACCTACACGCTGGAAAGTACTCAAGCACCGTCGCGAAGAAATTCGGTCTAACACCGA